TCTTTCATTTATTATCTGCTTGTGTTGCTAGTCTTCTGGTTTGTTTTCCATCTGGTTGTTGTTCTGTGTGTTTTTCTTGTTCTTATTCTCCTTCATCTTCTCCCACATCTCCGTGTTTTCCGACACCGACAAATTTGAACATATGTTGGCAAAGCCTGCTGTGCTCACTCTTTAGTCTAAACGTGATACATTGTCCATCTCTAGGGGAGTATGGGGGTTCATAGCAAAAGCTCAGAGCTTAGTCGCTGAGAGCAGAAAAACCTGGCATATGATATTACAACGTCTACTTTGAGAATGGAAGTGGAGGCAGTCCCTGCTGCGTTCCGCTGGCTTGAGAATCAGCTGTACACACATGGCATAACTGTAACTGACTCACAGAGCATTTTGAGAACGGTGGAGACGATCATACTCCGTGCAGAGTGGCAAGCATCGCATTAAAGGTCCCTGGTAGTTAGCGTCCTTTTGGATATTTTCTCCAGGTGATGCCGATGTGCTGGGAAACGAGCAGAGAGATAGACTGGCCCGTTCTGCACCACTCGGTGGTGAACTGATGTATGACAAGCGATATGTTGTGTGGGCCCGTTGGGAGCAAGTGTACAGTGCCGAGGATGATGCTGCGAGAAGTTACGGAGGGTGTTGGTAGAGGTGGTCTTGCCGACGCTCAACACTCAAGGGAAAGGCGAGACGGATATACAGTCAGACTTATTGGTGTCATCGGAATTGGAACGCTTCGATTGCTGCTGAAGGTGGTGATGGGGCGCTTATGGGAATGTCCCGAGTGCTGCAATGTCTTAATTCAACATTCAACGTTAAATAGAGGGACAGAGTAGAGGAACATTGTAGAGGGACGGTGTAGGGGGATAGTGTATCTCTCTTTTTTTTTTGGGATGTAGTATTTATTAATGTCTTAGTCTAATTAGTTTATTTGTGTCTTGGTATTTGTCTAGAGGAAAAATGTATTTCCTTGATGGATACTAGTGCTTATTAATATCTTAGCCTTTTTGTGGGTTCAGTTACAATTTGATTGCACCATGTCAGTTCCACTTTTGGGCTATCTGTCGGCTAATTCATTACATTTCAATCCACAGTTACATTGACTCCAAAGTAAAACAAGTTAGATTATTCAATAGACGTTTCCATATGAGCTAGTTGTTTCATTAAATCTACAAAATGTCTGTTGGGGGAACATTCTAGTAGAACTGACTTAGCGTGGGTCAGATAGACTTATCTTCTGTATTTGCAAAACTGCATCATTATGTAGGTGGTTTTTTGCAGAACGTAGCTCTCATCACCGTTTACCTGACAAAAACTCGGTCTCCCGCCAGCTCTCCCACCTTCTGTACTGTCACACTCAAGGAGTCACTTATATCCTGTGTCCATCTTCATATTGGTCGGCCCCTGCCCCCCCCCCCCATCTTAATACCATGCTTTTTCTATTATTTTTTTTTTCCAGTTCCCCATGGTGCTTGATGTGACCAAAATATTTCAGCTTGCGAGACAGGATGCCAGTCTTCCGTGATGTTCAGATACATGTATTAAAAAAAAAAAAAAAACGGAAATACCACCAAAAGTACACCTGACTCTAAAAACCGACAAAACCCGAGTCCCAACCCAGGGCGAGGAAGCAAACGACCTAACGACTTCGCCAAGGGATATTTTCAACAACCCCCCCCCCCCCCCTTTTCCCCTCACCCCCACACCGAACAACCATTCAGCTCCAAATGCCGCGTAGACATTAAAAAGTAAAAATGGAGGCAAAGAATAATAATAATTATTGTTCATTTCAATTATATATTTTTTTTCTTTGGGAATGTTGAAATTAGGGCGAAAACAGTGTCAGTAATGAAATGTATTTGTCCGTGCAATTTCAGAAATTGTCCGTGAGGTCTCCATATGGTAGAGCGGGACACACGGGGAAAATTGGATTATTTTCATTTCCTTTAGACTAATTGTCTGTAATTTATTTCCATAACTATTTTGTGTCCGATTAGGACACCGTCGTTACTTGAAACAAACGAACTTGTTACCTGTTGCCGTTTGTTTAACTCAACTATTGACACTTATCGTATCATCATCATCATCATCATCTTCACCATCTTCATCATTATTATCATCATCATCATCATCATCATCATCATCATCATCAAGTGAAAGGTCCTTTGCAAAACATCGCCCTCATCACGGTCCGCCTCAGAGAAACTCAGTCTCTCTCAAACTCTGCCACCTTGTCCACATTTCGGCCGTGTTCACGTTTCCCGGCGCATCAATACACTACCTGACCTTCCATTCATACTTTCTCAGACTCGTCTATGTCTGAGGGGTGTCACGCTGTCCTCCCTTTAACTACATCTGCGCTGATGTCGCGTGTTCCATACTAAACGACGACACAGCTTCCATTAACCCCAGAACATGTAGAATTGGCCCTAGCCTAAACCCTCCAACCCACACCTTTAACCTAGGTCACACGACAGACTTTTCTTTTCAAAAAGAAAAGCAATACAACCTGACACCCATCTGACCTATATCAAAAGGAAAAAGTGTGCAGATGGACCGGGAACAAGAACAGGTACCACATTCCAACCCAAGGAGTAGCTTATATCCTGGGTCCATCTTCCTTCTAGTCGACCTCTGTCTCTCCTTCCCGGTACCATGCCATATCTTTTGCCCCAATCCGCCGGAGCGATTGATATGGACAAATTATGTCAGCTTTCGTAACAAGACGCTGCTTACTAGTCTATCCTCCTTGATGTTCAGATCGTCAAGAATGTCAGTATTTTTTTTTTTTACCAGATGTGCTGAACCCCTCCCCCTCCCCCCCCCCCCACCTTCTCATGATACTCCACACTTTATGCAGAACTCCCCCCCCCCCCACCCACCACTTCTCATGATACTCCACACTTTATGCTGAAACCGCCCCCCCCCCCCTCCCCACACTCTCTCATGATATTCCACACGTTATGCTGAACCCCCACCCACCCCCCGCCCCCCCCCCCCACATCTCATGATATTCCACACGTTATGCTGAACCCCCCCCCCCCCCCCCCACTTCTCATGATATTCCACACGTTCTGCTGAAAACCCCCCACTTGTCATAATACTTCATACTTTCTGCTGAAACCCCCCATTCCCCACCTCCTACCCCCACACTTCTCATGATACTCCACACTTTCTGCTAAAAAAAACCCACTTCTCATGATATTCCACACTTTCTGCTGAAAAGCCCCCACTTCTCATGATATTCCACACTTTCTGCTGAAAACCACCCACTTCTCAAGATACTCCACAGTTTCTGTTGAAAACCACCCACCTTTCATGACATTCCACACTTTCTGAAGTTAAGCGCAAGCAAAGGCCTTGCTATAATCAATATAATAAGCAAAGCATGGAGATCTACATTGTATTCCTTGCGTATTCCATTTTTTTTTTTTTTTTCATTTGAAAGAAGTGATGCCTAATTACTCTAACCGAGTGTTTTTCAACCTGTTATATGCCATGCCCCACTTAAGCATTTCTAATAATTCTTATGCTTCCTGTGTATGTAACATTGCCATAAGGTTAATTTAAAATCTGGACAAGTCAATTTTCGAATAGTCCCCCTTAACGATCAAATTGTCCTTCCTAACAATCAATCAACGCGTGGGCCACAGGTTGGGAAACACTGCTGCAACCTGTCTGAAACTCGCCTGTTTTTCATGTCTTCAACATCATGCGTGGTGCCGGTAACATGTTTCACCATCGCACACGATCACCAGAATCACGGATTAGTTCAATGTTTTTGTCTTGCCCTAGCCATCTGACTAAACAATCCATGGTATAATTATCTTTCCGGTAAAAGCAATGTTTCGCTGCCCAGATCCCACCCATAGAGACACTAGCTCAATTCTGATTAGTTCGATCCTGAGCGACTTGACCTTGGCACCAGGTTACGGGGGTGTTCCGCAATGCCGCTGATATCGCATGTTGTTTATTTCAGCACGCCAGCGCTTTTAACACTCGAAAAACATAGAGAAACTGGATCTCACACCACCCCCCCCCCCTTTTGCCCCTTAGAGAGTGCTGCAACCTATGTAACAAGCATTCTCTTTCTCGGAATGAATACGTAAATGCAAGACACCCCAGAAAGCAAACAACAGATCGGGGCACACCCGTAACCTGCAGGGAAGTCGACCAAAACCTATGAATGAAACGTGACCTACTTTTTGGGGGGAGAATAACTTAAACCTAACCATCTTTCCAAAAATCTTTCCCATCGTTACCAAGTGCTTGAGTCAAGTCCTTCTAAAAGTATGTCCGAAAAATATTGACTGTTTCCTCTATTGTTCTAATAAGTTTACGACGTTCATCAGTCTCGCGACTGCTTCGTTTGTTTTTCTATCCGTCCATGATATTCTTTTGCATTCTTCTCAGAAACCACACCTCTGCCGCCAGTAAATGTGGTTGTTTTTTCCAGCTTGTCTGCTTTTTGTCCTCGCTTTGCATGCATACAACAGCACAGGTTCTATTTAACACTTTAGCGCTCTTTGTTTCTCACTGCAAGCGACATTTTATTGAAGAGAGTAGGTGAGTAAGTTTTACCCCTGCGTGACATCACACAGAGCGATAAACACCCGGTGACACAAAGTGCCACTGTGTGGATGAGGATCACCCGTGGATTTACGTTTTAATTCCCAGAGAGAGACTGTCTGTAACATAGGTTTCGTCACTCTCTAAAAGGGTTGTGTGTTCGACCCAGATGTCGATGTTTTTGAAGCGTTAAAAGCTCTGGCATAGTAAAATATAGAACACGCAATATCAACCGTTTTGGGGAACATCCCCGTCACCTTGTTTGAGGGTCGGGTAACTCAAGGCCGACCAATCAGAGCAAGGTAGGCTGAAGGTCGACCAATCAGAAGCGAGCTAGTGTGTACAGGTGTGTAGAATGGGGGCGGGGGCGGGGGGGGGGGGGAACTAACTTTTCATTTACTCAATGACAGTATTTTTATGATGTTTTTCATTACCAGGTTTTTCCGTCAGTCGATTTCCTGGACTAAACCTCTTTGCTCTCCAATGCAATGGCTCCCATTTACCCAGTGATGTTCGAAGTGTCCAGTACATTAGCCTGGAGAGATACTCACCTCAGCCTGAAGTGCCGCCACACATTATAGCTTCACTGTCCTCTGTAGGTGAGTACTGTGTGGGTAAATACCGTGTGGAGCAGTGCGGTGTGGTCAAAATACAGAGTAGGTCAGTGCGTGTTGGCAAATACAGTGTAGGGGAGTACTGGCTGGGCAAATAACGCGTAGAGCAGATACTCTCTATGTGAGTACTGTGTGAGCAAATTTTCTGTATGTGAGTACTGTGTGAGCAGATACTCTGTATAGGTGAGTACTGTGTGAGCAGATACTCTGTATAGGTGAGTACTTTGTGAGCAGATACTCTGTATAGGAGAGTACTGTGTGAGCAGATACTGTGTAGGTGAGTACTTTGTGAGCAGATAGTTTGTGTGTGAGTGCTGTGTGAGCAGATAGTTTGTGTGTTATTACTGTGTGAGCAAATACCCTCTAGGTGAGTACTGTGTGGGAAAATACTTTGTATGTGAGTACTGTGTGGTCAGATACTTAGTGTGTGAGTACTGTGTGAGCGAATACTCTGTAGCTGAGTACTGTGTGAGCAAATACTCTGTGTGTGAGTGCTGTGTGAGGAAATACTCTCTAGGTGAGTACTGTGTGAGCGAATACTCTGTAGGTAAGTGTAGGTGAGTACTGTGTGAGCGGATACTCTGTGTGTGAGTACTGTGTGAGCGAATACTCTGTAGGTAAGTGTAGGTGAGTACTGTGTGAGCGGATACTCTGTGTGTGAGTACTGTGTGAGCTGATACTCTGTAGGTGAGTACTGTGTGAGCAAATACTCTGTATGTGAGTACTGTGTGAGCAAACAATCTGTATGTGAGTACTGTGTGAGCAGATATGATGTAGGTGAGTACTGTGTGAGCAGATACGCAGTAGGTGAGTACTGTGTGAGTAAATACTCTGTGTGTGAGTACTGTGTGAGCAGATACTCTGTAGGTGAGTACTGTGTGAGCAGATAGCTGTAGGTGAGTACTGAGTGAGCAAATACTCTGTGAATGAGTACTGTGTGAGCAGATACTCTGTAGTTGAGTACTGTGTGAGCAGACATGCTGTAGGTGAGTACTGTGTGAGATGATACTCTGTAGTTGAGTACTGTGTAAGCAAATACTCTGTTTGTAAGTACTGTGTGAGCAGATACTGTGTAGTTGAGTACTGTGTGAGCAGATAGTTTGTGTGTGAGTACTATGTGAGCAGATAGTTTTTGTGTGAGTACTGTGTGAACAGATACGCTGTGGTGAGTACTGTGTGAGCAGATGCGCTGTGGTGAGTACTGTGTGAGCAGATGCGCTGTGGTGAGTACTGTGTGAACAGATACGCTGTGGTGAGTACTGTGTGAGCAGACGCGCTGTAGGTGAGTACTGAATGAACAGATACGCTGTAGGTGAGTACTGAATGAGCAGATGCGCTGTAGGTGAGTACTGTGTGAGCAGATGCGCTGTAGGTGAGTACTGTGTGAGCTGATGCGCTGTGGTGAGTACTGTGTGAGCAGATACGCTGTGGTGAGTACTGTGTGAACAGATACGCTGTAGGTGAGTACTGTGTGAGCAGATGCGCTGTGGTGAGTACTGTGTGAGCAGATACGCTGTGGTGAGTACTGTGTGAACAGATACGCTGTAGGTGAGTACTGTGTGAGCAGATGCGCTGTGGTGAGTACTGTGTGAGCAGATGCGCTGTGGTGAGTACTGTGTGAGCAGATACGCTGTGGTGAGTACTGTGTGAACAGATACGCTGTAGGTGAGTACTGTGTGAGCAAATTACTTTGTATGTCAGTACTGTATGAGCAGATACGCTGTAGGGGATTATTGTGTGAGCAGATACGCTTAAGGTGAGTACTGTGTGAGCAGATACGCTGTAGGTGAGTACAATGTGAGCAAATACTCTCTATGTGAGTACTGTGTGAGCGAATACTCTCTATGTGAGTACTGTGTGAGCAGATACTTCTATGTCAGTACTGTGTGATCAGATACTCTGTTTGTGAGTACTGTGTGAGCAGATACTCTGTGCAAGTGAGTACTATGTTGCAAATACTCTCTATGTGAGTACTGTGTGAGCAAATACTCTGTTTGTGAGTACTGTATGTGCAAATATTCTGTAGGTGAGTACTGTGTGAGCATATACCATACGTGTGAGTACTTTGTGAGCAGATACGCTGTAGTTAAGTACTGCAATACTTTGTAGTTGAGTACTGTGTTAGTAAATACTGTGTAGGGACGTACTGACAAATTACGAATTTGGTGCTGTGTTGGTGGAATATCTAAGTACTATGCATAAGCTACTTTGTAAATAGGATGTCAGGGAGTATTGTCTACTTTTTATTTTATTTGTAAGCTGATTAAGGGGAGTATTTTCCTGAATTTTGCTAATGTTCTCTGGGAAAGTATTGTGTAGGTAGATCTTTATAGGCGAATACAATGTAGATGAGTGCTGTGTATAATACTTTTTGTGTGGGTACTAAGAGGAGCTACTTCGTGGGTAAATTTGCGGTAGTTGTGTAATTTTAAGGCAATTTCATTTTGTGAGTACTTTTTAGGCGAATGAGCCATAAATGAGTACTTGGTGGGTGATTACTGTGTGAGTATAATGTAGATAGATACACAATAGGTGTGTACTGGGTAACTGAGTACTAGGTGGATGAGTACTAGATTGTGAGTACTGAGTAGGTGAGTACTGGGTGTGTAGGTAATACATATGTGCGTACTGTATAGGTTGTGGCGCTGCATGTGCAAATTGGATAAGACAGCCCTGGATGAGTGAGTACTGGGTAGATGAGTACTTTAACTATGAGTACTATGTGGGTAGGTACTATATTGGTGAGTACTTGGTAGATGATCACTGGGTGGAAGAGTACTAGGTGGATAGGTACTGGCTAGATCTGTACAAGGTAGTACTGCAAATGTCAGCACTATGTAGGTGGACACGCTGTGATTGTTGTATGTGTGGGTTAGTTAGTTACGTATTCTTAGAAAACGTCGCAGAACCAACCCCAGCATTTGTTGTTGTTGTGGTTGTTGTTGTTGTTGTTGTTGTTGTTGTTGTTGTTGTTGTTGTTGTTGTTGTTGTTGTTGTTGTTGTTGTTGTTGTTGTTGCTGCTGCTGCTGCTGCTGCTGTTGCTGTTTCTATGCACATTTTACGTTGAGCATTTAGCCGTTACTTTTTAAAAAATAAGCTTTCAAAACCATTGTCGAAACCAATGCAAGGCAAATAATCATCTGAAGCTGGGATCGAACTCGGCTCCCCGGCATTACGACGCACTTTCGCAACGCCTCAACCACAGACGCTGAAGCAAATGTGACTACTAGACATCTGTGAGCGTATACTAAAAAAAAAATATGTAAATATCCCTTTTGACGCCTCTAGACGCATCGGACAAATGGGAAGAGCACCCATTTTTTAACAGACTAATCGACACTAGGTTGGTGATGTGGTTAGCATTACGCAGGCCGTCTTAACTTCCCGAGGACATACATCCTGGTACCTATTTTAGGCTGGGTCGACCTGCGACGCCCCATACCATGATAAAAATCCACGCAGCCAGCAGTGGGTTTCGATCGCAGTACGTTGGAATTAAGAGTCGCACTCGCAACTCCTAATCCACGGACGCCGCTGTGAGCGCATACTGTTTATTTAAATACACTGCAGCTGAGTACTTTTTTGCCAGGGTTTCTTTCATTCAAATCCTGAATGATAACTTAAAGGTTTCAGAACTTCCGGTCAAAATGGACTCTAAGCATGTTCACTGTCTTTAGTCGTGTAAAAATGTCTGAATTTTGGCAGACAGTGGCCTCTGCATTTTCCTTCATTTGTAGACGGAAAGGATATAGTTTTGTTGCCGAGCTACTGAGTTATATGCATGGTGTGACAATATGAGCTGCGGATTTCCTTTGGAGTGTTTTAGCAACATAAATAGTGGTACCTTATGTGATCAAAATTGATCGCGTGTGCAACTGCTTATCTGCTTGCAGTTGCTGCTTCCGTCGATGATGAACTGCAATTTTAATGACGGACTGTTTGTGTTGGCGCTTTTGATGGCTGCCTTATGCTGTAATGCGTGTATTCTAGTGCATATGCTGAGACTGCAGTCTGTGTCAAATGTTTTCCATAAGGGACAGTGATGGACATACTATGTGTTTTTTGTTGGCACAGCGGAGCAACTATGGGCTGACCCGTTTGTCATGAAGCTGAAACTAAGATTACCAGATTAAATGGTTTGGAACAACTCACAAAGTCCGGCCCAGAAAAAGAAAGTCATTTCCCTTGCCATTCATCACTGGTCGTGCCGTAGGGCCTGTGCTATGTGGCAGGGGTGTCGCGCTTAGTGGGCGTCAAGACCAGGACATATTTTACGCGCATTTGTCATAGGCTGCATGCAATTGTGGGATGTCGGATGTACTCTCTAGTGGGACGTAGGCTGAAACTGTGGCTTAGGGGGAGGGGGGGGGGGTAAGGGCCAGTTCTACATCTTTTGGGACCGTTAAAAGCGCTCACATTGGGGAATATAGGTCATACTATATAGCTGGCTGGTGAAAGCACCGTGTAAAATTTGCTGTGATGCTGGACCTTCACTATGCGTGACACACCCGCAACATAGGACAGGCCCTACAACACGACCATGGATAAATGGCAAAGGAAGTCACTCTCTTTCTGGGCCCGAGTTCGTAAGTTGTACCAATGGTTTAAATCCTAAATACCAGAGAAGTATTTTTTTTCCACAAAAGTGTCATTTGATAAAAACATATTGGTATAGTGATTAAGAGAATTAATTCATAGATGGTTGGACAGAGAGGCTAAATGTTTCCAACTTCATCCCAGATTTTAAAAGAATTTCTTAGGACAGAGCCCAATAGAGGCGTAGCTTGCAAGCCCTTTGTGGCATACAGTGGGCAATGGCATTACCGGATGATGATAGTGGTGGTGGCGGCGGTGGTGGTGGTATTGATGATGATAAAGAGGATGATAGTAGTTGCTGGTGTATGATAATGATGATGATGCCAGTGGTGGTGGTGGTGTTATAATGATGATAATGGTAGTGATGATGATGATGATGACGTTGGTGATGATGATCAGGCCATATTTACGAGTATGACATCCCTGTGGAGTCAATTACTGTACTCCTTTTCTTTTCTCAGCTAAACTGCAGCGGTTCCCTCAATATCCATTTACCCTTTTATTACTGGCAGTGCGGATAATGGAGTTAGATAAACAGATAAAGTAACAGGAAAAACTTTTAGAGCCATATACAATCAGACAGGCAAAAATAAAACAAACAGATAAAAAAAAGAGACACACAGGTTAATATCAGGACGACAAATTGACGGTAAGATAAACAGGTAGATAAACTATCACACAGACAACAAGGAAACAAGCAAAAGACAGACAGATAAACTAACACTCAAGCAGATAAACAGACAGACAGATAAATAACCCCCCCCCCCCCCCCCCCCCCCCCCCCCCCCCCCCCGATAAATTTAATTGCTTAGCCTAACACGACATGCTGAACCAACCCCAGCAATTTTTCCCATTGTATAGCCGTTTTGTCTTTTCTAGTCAAATTTTCCATTCAGTAGTTTGCCATTGCTATAAACGACCGGCTCTTGATACCGCTTTAGTAACTAACGCAAGACAACGCTGCCCAATCGCCTGCAGTTGGGATCAAACCCGGCATCCCGGAATTACGAAAGTGCATTCACAACTCTTAACCCTCATACCCTAAACGATAAACCTGCAAACAGACAAATAAAGTTTCTCCTTTCTCCCTCTTCAGACGGAGTGAGATTGGAAAACAGCTATGGAAACGCCAACGTCTACGTGAGTGGAAGGTTCGACGGGGATAACATCCATTCCACATCCTTAACTGTCCTTTTAGCCGATGTGATTCTGGACCTGAAGGTGACATACGGCTGCAAAATTAGCTACATTAAACGCGGAGGCGGCCTGGGAGTCACCGAGAGGTTTTTGAATGTCAGTTTTGCTGGTGAGTCGTTTTTTTTTTTTCAGTTTTGAATTTGTTGGGTTAAGGGGTTTGCGGGAATTTTAACTAACGTGTGTGTATGTGTGTCTTTGTGTGTGTGTCTTTGTGTGTGTGTGTGTATATATATATATATCATCAGGTGCCTTGGCAGCTGACGAGGGCGTTCATGCGTCGCTACAGATCTCGGTTTTTGGTGTTCTGGATCAATTCTACCATGCCACTGTCTTTAGCCATCCACCATCATGTCTCAGGTCTTTCTCTGAATCTTCTACCAGTCGTCACGATATTGTGTGTGTGTGTATGTGTATGTATGTATATATATATATATATATATATATATATATATATATATATATATATATATATATATATATATATATATATAAACAAACAGATAGTGTATTGATCGGCACTCACAGAACGAAGTACAAATAAAGAAGGACTCTTTAGTTCCAGGGGAAAGTACATTGACAGGCACTCATAGAAGCACGTGGAAAGCGAGAAGGTGACACTGGTTCCCGGAAAAGTCCAATAGCATAGGGGTGTTAGGGTCTTAAATGACCGCCGACAAACACTAACCCCAGCTCCCCCCCCCACCCCCCCCCCCGCGAAAAAAAAACACCCAGCATTTATTGGTTGTGTATGATTTTACTAGGTAATTTTACGCTCAGTAGTTCGGCAATGTGGACAACAGACGGAATTATAACACATATTGACTTTAGTGGTGAGAAGAAAACAGACAACAGAAGACAAAAGACTTTTATATACAGTGAATAAAATCAAAGGGGGAAGATTATGTAAGCTGTAGACTTCAAAAGACAAAAACGAAGCGGCGGAAATGGGAGGGAGAAGGATTTGGGGGGGGGGGGTTTGTAGAAAGCAAAACAAGATTCACGGGAACGTTTTAAAGAGTTATTAAAATAAAATTATGTTCTTTTTTTTTTATTGTTGTTGTCGATAAAGGCTCTTGCCGAAATGTTAAACTATTCGTGTGTGTGTGTGTGTGTTACGCGCATGCGTGTCGTTCTTCATTCCCTCTTCGACAAGTTTCTGTGTCATAATCCAGTGGAATACTCTATTGACAGTTAGGGCTAATCAAATGGAACACATGTAACAAATTGATTTGTTACAAGCAAGATTCTACACACAACACTACGGCAGTCTGTAGACACACACACATATAAATGAGAAAGGAAGATAAGACACCTGATATCAGACCTTAGGATTCATATGTCTGGCGAGAATAGCAGCAGCTCAGAAGAAAGGTCTAAATTAGTACAAAGGGGACATATGGAACATAGCGCGTGTTTGCACGACAAAGCCCGGTAATAAAACGGTCCAGACGACCGGCCATAATTATAACAGACGATCCGACGTCACGTGATCTTCCTGTTAGAACAATGACATGTGGGTCACGACCAGGAATTGATCTGTTTTTTTTCTCCCGACGCCCAGTGCCAGCCAGTTTGTGGGGAATTATGGGAAAGTCCTACATCTTTCTTGTATTAAGAAATTAGAAGGGATCGCGTTGGTGCAGGGCCAAGCGATTAACTAAGATCCGAAGATTTTGTGTTCGAATCCAGATTTTTTTTTCTTTTTTTAGAAATGACCTTGGCTCACAGGTCGATTCTGCCTCAACATGCGTCTGGCCCTTTTCTCCACCTTCAAGCGTCTTGGGCATATAGGGCTTGACCTAAATTGTATAGACCAATCAGCACTCGGTGGCTTATGCGGTCAACATCACGCCAACCTACTTTACTTTCCAGGACTATACCTAGTATCCACTCAATGTGGGTCGACCTGGGATGCATGGTCGTTTTTGAAATAAAAAATTTGGCCCGTGTCAGGAAAGGAACCCATGAACTTTCGATCCATAGGTGAGCGTCTAGTCTGTACACCACGGTGGCTCCTAATATTGGGAATGTACTGGGGGAGTAAAACAATGTGTGATATATGAACTGTAAACCCACAGAGAGCAATGTTATACAGATACAGTGGTAACCGAGGTCGGTCATGCAAAAGATAGACCCAAAAATATCAGAGACTGAAAAGTACTTGTTCAGCCCTGAGGTCGCAAGGCGTTCCATGAGTACAGAAAAGTCGAAGAAAATATGATCTATTATTAGCAAATTTCTGTACAAGGGTATAGCATCATATGCCCACCGTACAGGTGGTGTGTCCCATTTTGTTAGGAAGCAGGGGAGAATAGATCTACTGCCTCTCCCCCAACGAGCATAACACACACACACATACAGAATATATATATATATATGTGTGTGTCGGCGCCTGTGCTAACGCGCTTCGTAATGCCGGGGTGTCGGGTTCGATCCCAGCTGCGGGCATTGCGCCTTGCTTTGGTTTCGACAGTCGTCTTGATAAGCCTACTGTCCAGAAAGAATGGCAGATTACTGTACATAAACTTGCTTAGAAAAACAACAACAGCGACACACACACACACACACAAAATGCTGGGGTTGGTTCTGCAACGTCCTGTAAAGGATACGCATCTTATATATATATGTATATATATATATATATATATATATATATATATATATATATATATATATATATATATATATATATATATATATATATATATATATATATATATATATATATCCTCACGTATCGCCGACAGTGGTTAGCTGTTATGTTATCCATTTGTAGCTATGGTAATAAATTGTGGTCAGGTCCGGTTGTAAAATTAGACTTATCATGAGTTTGCTGAAGATGTCGCAGACTAGCTGTAAACCACACCACAACATACCAATGGCTCTTTTAAGGACGAATGCGGAGGACGAAGAAGAAGAAGAAGAAGAAGAAGAAGAAGAAGAAGAAGAAGAAGAAGAAGAAGAAGAAGAAGAAGAAGAAGAAGAAGAAGAAGAAGAAAAAGAAGAAGAAGAAGAAGAAGAAGAAGAAGAAGAAGAAGAAGAAGAAGAAGAAGAAGAAGAAGAAGAAGATTAAAAAGAAGAAGATTAAAATGAAGAATAAGAAGAAAAATGCAAAGAAGAAGATAGAGGAGAAGAAGAAGGAAGAGGAGGAGAAGAAGAAAGTGGAAGTGGAGGAAACGAAGGAAAAGTAGGAGGAAGAAATATGCCTAAGATGCCTAAAAGGTCCAGAAATGGTTCCTTTGTTTTATACTTTATTTCGCACAACAAAGTTCATGTCTCAGCTCTGAAGCAGAAATACTTTGGCCGCATAAAATGTCGAGGGAGCTTAGAACGAACAGTAATGGATGACAGGGTCCAGAAGAAGATGTGGATCGATAAAGGGAAGATGGACACACGACATTAACTCTTCAACGAAGGCACCAGTTAATGTCACGGCTAAAGAGGAGGGGTAGGGGGCGGAAAATACACAAGTTCTAGGGTCTCCTTTTCTAAAAATATATTATGCGAAAGTGGGTTATAACTGTTTATTAGGCTATTTTACAATATACAAATATAAATGCATTTTAAAACAAATGCCTGTGACTTGCAAGCAACGGTCATTTTCGACAAAAGTCCGGCTCTGTGAGGACCTAAACCAACGACCATCCGATCCGCAGGCTAGTCCTTAGCCGCTTCACCACGGCGACTCCTCCTATGCTATTATATTATTAAACAAAGAAGATAAGTCGGTACTGGATGAGAACAACAACAGCAACAACAAAAACAGCAGATAATCACCAAGCAGGCTCTAAATTTGCAAATAAAAGGACTGAGAAGTGAGGACGTCCAAAGCGAATCCTAAGACAAACGCAGTTGAGAGAGGCCAACGGTTCTAGAGTGGATTGCCTCCATAATACCGAAAGGATTGCGCGGATAGAACGGAATAGATGAATTGACTACGACAGTTAGGATGATGATGCTATTCCGCTAAAACAACCCTTTTAACCCAGAAGATTTTGCTGTACTCACCCAAGATGGAGTGGCGTCCATGGCTTAGGCGTTGGGAGTCTGACTCGTAATTCCAACGTACCGTGATCGAAACCCACTGCTGGCTGCCTGGGTTTTTATCGTGGTCTGGAGATTCGCAGCTCGACCCAGCCTAAAATGGGTACCAGGATGTATTTACTGGGGAAGTAAAGACGGCCGTCGCAATGCTGACCACATTATCCAGCAAGTGCCGATTGGTTTGTAAAAATATAGGTGCTCTTTCCACATGCCCGACGCGCCCAAAGCGTGAAAATGGATTTTTACTAACATTTTATCCAAGAAGGATGTTAGCTTACTTGAAAAAAAAAAGAATGCAGATTTTACTGTCAAATAGGCATATACTGTGTCAGATTTCTTTAGTGAGTTCAGACCAAAAGTATATCGTATATTACAATACAATACGTTTCTTGAAAGAGTGAGTCAGTAGCTAATCCCACATAGTGCATTTTGTGGGACAGAAAGAGTTAAATCATTGCTGCTTCTTGTTAGACAATACTTAATCACACAGACGCAACCATGGAAAGAGAAAGTACAGCGCGTCGGTGAAAACATGGATAGCGCAATCTTGTTCGTGACCATTGTTTGAATACACCAAGAGCAAACACTGATTGACGTATGAGAACTTGTGGCCGCGTCTGTTACTAACAAAGTAAACTAAGTAAAGTACCCTTTTACACGCCTTTCAGGCTTATTGGGTATATGGGGCTAAACCTATATTTTATAGACTAGCGACACTTGGTGGGTGATGCGGTCAGCATCGCGCCGGTCGCTTTTACTTCCTAGGACTGTACCTGGTACCCACTCAAGGTTGGGTCGACCTGGGAGCCAGCATCATTTGTAAAAAAAAGTTCGACTTCCGTCAGGAACCGAACCCACGACCTTTCGATACGCAGGCGAGCGACTATCCACTAGACCACGGTCTTCTATTACTCACACATTCTCAACATAAGTAATTAAAAGAGGTTGTTAAACTCTTCCGTATTCTAAGCTAGTGTCCGAGGGAGTTAAGAATGACAATACTAACCTGATGGGTATTTCTAGAGGGGTCATATTTGCAATCCTTGCAGAACACAAATATGTTGAGTTCTTTAGAGTCGCTTACTAAACTTCAGATGTAAGTAAAAAAAAAAACAAGTAAACAACCCTTTTCCACGCCTTTCCCACGTACTGGGTATATAGGGTTAGACCTATTTTTTATAGACCGATCGGGACATGGTAGGTGATAAAATCAGCATCGCGTCGACCGCCTTTGCCTTTCAGAACTGCACCTGGTACCCACTCAAGGATGAGTCGACCTGGAAGCCTATGTCATTTAAAAATAAAAATCTCTGGCCCCTGTCAGGAAACGAACCTAAGACTTACCGATTCACAGGTGATCGTCTAGGCTCTACACCATGGCGACTCCCCAACATAAAATGTACTAACATAATAGGATGTTGACTGGTTCGCGTGAAGGGAGACATATTGTATGTAACTACATGTATGTTTAATTATCAAGCTTATTCCTATAGTTTTTGTGGGGGACGGCAGGGAAAATACCCAAAAAAAAAAAAAAAACCGAACTGTCAGAGGGAAGACACTTAACGTAACCTTAGCCTGGTTTGGTGACGTCAGGAGCATTCTCTCTTGCGTGAATACTACACGTATACTGCGTTGTTTAAGACGGAAAGGTTTAAAGCCTAGAAAATCAACACATAGAATCGACGTTTATCCAATTTATTTCGCTATCTGTCCACGGATTGGCTGTTTCAGATAGAAAATATCCCACAAAGCGCTACCCTCTGTAGATCTAGCGAAGACCCCAGTGATCTCTGAAAACGCCTTCACTCGGGAACTGAATGCAGCTGAAATAGGACCCAGCATTTTTGGAACATACAACATGGAACGTTTGTCACAGAAATACCTCCCCCGCCCCACCCCCGTTTTTTTTAAATTTTTTAATTAAACAGCCACTACCATAATCTTGTCTATTTCATTCTATGGTTTTTTTTTTCCTTTTCACTTCTTTCCAATGACACGACACTGTTATGTTTGTGTAGATAAGTGTTTAATAATTTTCTTTATTCTTTGCTGAATTTGTGTGTTTTCCTATTCAAATATGTAACTCCTTTTAATTTGTGTAATGTTTTTTTCGTCGTGAGTAAACTTATGTATATGTTACCTTCATCCTTCCTCAGATCTACAAACTTTGTACTTACTACAGTCAGATGATCTGGACAAAAATCATCATCTGCAACGCCTTGCACAGACACCTTTTAGCGAAACAAAACATGGTATGTTGTTCAAACTAAGCAAAGGTTAAAGAAACAGACACAAACTGGGGAGTTGAGGCGGAGTGGGGGTGGGGGGGGGGGTGTAGTTCTGACAGTAGTAAATAACTTTTAACGAAAGAAAACAAGATATGCAAATGTGTTTAGAGACTTGATTCAAGATTTGTCTCAAGGATAAACATATTCTAGACAACGAAATACGGTTATTTTATGACAACAAACATAATTTAGCAACCTAAAATAATGCATCTTCTTAAAGTAAGCAACTTTTTTTTCCGAAACAAAATACGGCATTTGGTCACTTTTAATTACTTATGTTATTCAAACACACTGTTGGTGATGCAGATACGTTTTATAATCCATGCCGTTGTGTTTACGCTAATTTCTCAGTAATTACTTACCATGGGAACGTAGATTTGTTGTGTTCCTCTTTTTTCGCAAGAGCTCCTATTTTCATTTCGACGTTAATATTTCATGCATAAATAATACATAAGCTGCCAAATTTTCTCTGATATTTTCCTCACATGTACAATGTTGGTTAGGTAACAAAACAAACTTTACAGTGCTGACGTAAAGTACTGAAGTAAGATAGAAAAAAAAAAGGCATTTCTGCAACTGTTTATCATTGAAGCGTAAGTCCATGCATTTCTTACAATTTCCCATTGTGAACTTTTGGATATATCAGTGTCATAGTTCTCTTTAACTTGTTTTTTCTTCAGCGTAAATATTTATTCGTCTTCCAGCATTCTGTACTTTGCTAGTTTAATGACTTCTTTGTCGAAGCTAGCAGTTTTCTTTTCCCCTCTTCGCTCAACATTGGTATATGTTGAAATAATTGACTCTTCCATAGTCAGTCTTTAGAATGTTCGGTCGGTAACACACACGGCATGTATTGTTTTCTTCTTTAGGTTTAAAATAGAATAAGTCCTTCAAAGTCGGAGTACATCTGCCTGAGAGGCAAGGAACCATCAGTTTGCATGCAAATGAGTTAGGTCTGTGAAACGGATGTGCACACAACACTGTTTCTGGAACAGGACTAGAGTCCAAAAGTAGACGAACAACCAGAACTTTCCCCCTGAGTTACAGCAGGTAAACGCGAAGAAGAAATACAATATTACAGAAAGTATGGTGTAGTCTCAAATGAGAAATATTTATATAACTGCGTTGTTATATTTTTGAGTGTAATAAATTTAACTTTTAGTTCAATTCTGATAACACAGGAACTAGCCATACAAGTGACGCCTTTGCAACTTCTGACGAAACTTGACAAAACATGGATTTTAGAAAGCGTGTGGAGGTTTTGAGCACAGCAGTCGTGGCCTAATTTAGAATTTATGCGAAACACGAGATTTTGTTACATTTGAACTTAGTGCTAAAGAGCTCTTAGTAGGCAGTCCAACAGGGATCCTCGTAATTTTATATCACTCCGATAAGCACAAAATGCATTCTCATTACTTCTTATGCTGAAGGGGGGTGGGGTGGGGGGGGGGAGAGATTACGACATAATGATGAGAATTAAATCAATATTAATTCATAATTTTATCAACACATATTCTACTACAGCTGAGATATAATGCCATGTGTCTGATGTAACATTATTGATCATTACTATACTATCTTAATTAAAATATGCTGATAACTGATTTTGTAAAACTTCTTGAACAGCGTCCATAATATGGACAACGCCGATGATACTGCTGATGACGATGGCTATTTTGTTGTTTGCCTTGTTCGTGGTTTGCGTTCTGTTAATTGTGGATAGGTATAGAGGTAAGTATACTTTACGTGTTTTTACTTCATTCATATTGGTGTTATAGATTAAAGGAAAATAGTAAATGTATGTTATCAAATGAAAGACATGTTATATTAACAGCCGCGGTTGACGACAGTAAACAAATGGTTGCGAGTTTAGACAATTTGTTGTGAGACAATAATGGTGGATGGCTGATGGAATTTGCAAGCGTGATTGCTGATTGATTAGTCTGTTGTTTGCTTGATTTTTTGCTTGTTGGTTTGACTGGTTGTTTTGTTGTTTGGTTGGTTTTCTTCTTCGCTAGTTGTTTTGGGTGTTTTCCCACATTGTTTGCTGGTAAGCTGGTTGTTTAGTTGGTTGGCTGGTTGTTTCGTTGGTTGTTTATTTAGCATTTTTGATGTTTCGTTGGTTGTTTATTTAGCTGTTTTGATGTTCTGTTGGTTGCGCTTTTGTTTTCTGGTTATTCTATTGGTTGTTTGTTTGTATGGTGGTTCAGTTTATGATTTCATTAGTTCATTGTTTGGACTGGGTCAGAGGTTGTTGGCTTGGCTGGCTGTTTGTTTGCTTTTTAGCTGCTCGGTTAGTTTGTTGGTTGGTTTGTTGTATACATGTTTAGTTTATGAATGGTTACTTGATTATTTGGTCGGTGTTGTTTTGTTGATTGTTTAGTTTCTTGTTTGTTTTGATATTGCTTTTTTTTTAAAAATATTATTGTTTAGTTAGTTTTAAATTTTTTTTGGGAGGGGGAAAGGGGTGTGGGGAGGTTCGTTGTTTAATTTATTGGTTGGCTGTTTTTTTTTTTTTTTTTTAATTGGTTGGCTGGTTTTTTGGTTGTTCGAATGGTTATTTGCTTGGCTGTTTGACTGGTTGGCTTGGTGTTTGATTATTTAATTGGTTGCTTGCTTGCCTGGTTGGGTTGTTGTGTGAGTATTTGATTGGTTATTTGCTTGGCTGTTTGACTGGTTGGCTTGTTGTTTGAGTATTTGATTGGTTGTTTGCTTGGCTGTTTGACTGGTTGGCTTGTTGTTTGAGTATTTGATTGGTTGCTTGCTTGCCTGGTTGGGTTGTTCAGTGAAAATGAAAATCTAACCTCACTGTTCCTTGCTGAAAAGAGTCGAGTGCCTGTTGGGCGATGTTAATTTTTGGATCTAGAGGCGCTTCCCCCCTTCCCCTTTCCCCTCCACGAAGTCTGAAATTCTTGTAGTTGTCTCTTTTTTGTTTCCATCTCTTTTCTTTACCTGGACCTGGTTGAGGTTAACAGTGACTTTTACTAGAAATGTATCTAAAGAACTTTGCTTTTGCCTTCTCTCCGGTATGTGTTGGGAAATGGAACATCATCTGGTCCTTCTAGACAACACATAAGGACTGATTTAGGCTTTATTAGGGTGGTGCTTCTCTGCAACATTTTTTGACATCCATTCATTCGGCAAACATTTCCTTGATTATTTAGAGAGGTAAACAAGGGTTGTGTTCGGTGTCGTGGCTCAGCTGGACTCCCACAAGTTCTATCACGCAAATCGCATACTAAAAAGGTATTGAATCAAGCAACATTTTTCTCCGCAGGACGTATACCAAGATGGACGTATACCATGGCGAACGTATACTGAGGTACCGATGTATTTTCTGGTACAACGTTTTGTTTAGCAGAGGTGAACACAGGGCCTATGCTATACATTGAACAGGCACTGATGACGTTTGAGGCAAGGGCGCTAACTGCTAAATTATTGCGGCTGCTTTTTGTTGATTTTGTTGAGACCTTTCAGTCTTTCCAAACAATGTTATTAAATTGTTGTGTAAGAAGGCACAGTTTATAAACGTTGTTTCTTTTCTTTGTCTTCTCCTGCTTTGTCTCACAAGGCCTCGAAGGATAACAGATGATCTGTATTCGATCTGGGCTAAGCTGGGTTGCTCAGCATGTTTTGATGCTGTGGAGTGTCAAGGTATCGTCATCACTTCTCTTTATGCCTAGTGGCGCCTGAGGCTTCAGAGAGGACTTTCATGCTTTCCTGTCCGTTGCAATCTTCAGTGCAATTTTCCATATCAGAGATGCCACACCCAGTTCACTCTCCATCGTTCGTCTCTTTGTTGTTTTTGGTGACCCTTTTTTCTCTTTCCCTCTAGTATCCATGTGAGAGATGTTTTGGCAGGTATATTGGAATTTATACTCATAGCGTGGCCAGACCATTTCCATCTTTTCTTGGTTATGATACTGTCTAGAGTTTCTTGGTTTATGACTCAAAGTAGTCTAGTTTTTGAGACTGTATCTGGCCAGTAAATTTTTATAATTCTAGTTGACATGTGTGGTGGAAGGTGGATAGCTTGTGCACATCCTCTTTGGTCATTCTCTAGCATTCTGCTCCATAAACAAGGTACTGGTGACATTTTTTAATCTGTCTTCTTCTTGTTCGCCCTCTGCCTCTTGGTGTTTATGCAGTTTCCACATATTGACGGTAGTCTACGGTTTCACTGCCTGAGCTTTTGAGTTTAGTGCTTGATGTAGCCCGGTGAGCTGTGTTGTTTCATGTAGAAAGCCTTTTATTTGCGATTGAGTTGTGGCATGCAATATGGCCGGTAGCCGATTTACGTGCGAGCTGGCGAAATACCTTATGAAATAATTCGACGTGTGTATAGTCAACTTATCGTGTCCAACTACTTCCATCAACGACAAATTTCATTTCTGGTGGCGACTGTTGGCTTTGGCGCTTCCAGCAGCGACCACATTCATTTACTGCGTGCGCGTATTTCTGGATTGTTCCGGGTAATTGTTTGTTCATCATTTTTCAAATGGAACAATGAGGAACATTTCATTTGATAATAGAATGAAAGGGGTAGTTCTAAAAGTTCTTGTCATTTTTTTCTTTCTGACGTGATCGCCTCTAGTTTTGGTCATGGCCTTCCTCAAACATCATCTTGTGCATGTGCTCAGTTCTGTCGGCAACTGATAAAACATGTTGGTATACATTTTGCTTTTTGTGTGTGTGTTTTTTTTTTCCCTTTACTGTGATAGCTGAGTAAACGTGCCTTCTGCCTGTACCTACCACTATTTGCGTAGTTCTACGGGAAAAGGCTTACCGAACGGTTAGAAAGTTCAGATCTCAACCGGGATACCCAGGCTCGAATCCTGGGGGATTTGACATCTTTCGGATGTAAAATTGAAATCTTAACATGCGCTGTCCGTGGCGACAGTACTAACCATGTGGCCGTAAAGGATCGCCAACCTTGCCTACACAGCAGAACAGGTAAATGTAGG